GGGTCGGGGTCGGGGTGTTGCATAATAAAATATAGTTTAAAAGTAATAATAATTAGTTTTAATGGGTTAAATCCTCGACTTCTCCTTCGCGGAGACCGGCGGTGCATGGAATCATAATCTCAGCGCGCATCATCTGCTTCTTCAGCTGCGGCGACCATTCCTGGAAATGGCTGAGTGAACTTTAGGGAGAATACAAGCATCTTTCCAACACTGTCTCAGGAGCGACATATCCAACGTCTGGAGGTCTTGTTTGGTGTCTCCTAGGACTGGAGAAAAACCAAAACGCCCAACGCTTTTTGAGAGAAATATGCAACTGCGTGTGTTAATAATTGCACGTTTTCACTGCTCATATATATATATGCGGGTTCGGGTCGGGTTGCGGATCCTGTGCCGTCGGGTCGGGTTGCGGAACTAATTGGCAATATGTGCGGGTAGCGGGGCGGGTTCGGTATTGCACGTCGCGGGGCGGGAGCGGGTCTTGAAAATCAGACCCGTGCAGGACTCTGCTCTGTACATCTCCGACCTCCTAAAGGTGTACACCCCCTCAAGGGCTTTGAGGTTGGCTGATCAGCTGCTGCTAGTAGTCCCTAAAACCAAGACCAGGGGAGACAGAACCTTCTCAGCGGTAGCCCCCAGGCTCTGGAACGACCTGCCCCCCCATGTCAAATTGTCGCCCAACCTTCATACTTTTATGTCCCGCCTGAAGACCCACCTCTTTTCCCTCGCTTTCGAGTCAGTTTGAGCTATGTTTTGGCGATTTTTATGCTTTTATTGTCTGTCCATAGCCTTTATGTGCCTTTTTATCTATTCTTATGTGTGCCTTTTATCTATTATTGTAATATTATATTTTATTATAATGTTATGTTTGCTGTTAAGCACTTCGGTAAACCCTCTGTTTTTAATATGTGCTATATGAATAAAGTGGATTGGATTGGATTTGAAATTGAGGACAACATTAAGGAAGTTTAAGAATGACTGACTGAGTGAGTAGTCTTCTCTTAAATAAAACACATCTAGCAAAACGGTCTAAACTGCAAGCAGACTGTTGACCGTAATCATAATGTGAATGAACATAAACTTTAAGCATCTATTCTGTAATAAGACAAGGCACTGAAGACACAACCTGGATATAAATCCTGTTTCTGAAGCACATCGTAGCCCACTGTTGCTCTATACCTCTATGTGAATGAAACAATGTAAAACCGATTGTTGGGAACTTAACCAAAGTATATAACGTACACTGGTAAGCCATTGTCATAATTATTGTGTGTAATGCAAATAAAGTATATTAACTCCTTGAAGTGTGTTCATTCATGCCCTCATTCCTGTTTTGGTTGTCTTTCAGGGTCCACTGGAGCAGACTCCCCCCAGCGTCCTTGCTGCCCTGGCCCATGGATTTGAGCAGAGAGATACTGAGTCCTCTAAACCTACGTTCAAAATCAGGGTTGATTTTAAGGTAAATCCCTTTTTACAGTTCATCACATGTAATGGACACTTCTTTCTTCTTCTTTATCTCAGTGAACGAATACAAAGTCACATATAAAATACATTGAAACCATTGTCATTATTATATTTCTCCACAAGAGGTCAGTGTTTATTTGTTATGGACGTTTTAAACTGATCTTTTCAATGACATGTTTTAACACCTACAATAATGTATGAAATACGTAACACCTGCCTCCGAACTTAAAATTTCTCACATTGGGACCCCACCAACAACAACATTTATCAGTCAGCAGACCTGTTACGCTTGTACATACTGTGAGCAGGCGTTCTTCAGCTGTTAATTGTGTTTGCACTGTGTCTCTTTTTCAGGAGGAATGTACTGTGGAAAATGTTTGGAATATGGGTGGATTAAGCATATTAACCTCTGCACCGGTTATGCCACCCTACGTCTGCTTCCTTTGTTCCAGTAAAGGGCAACATGAGGTAACTAATTAATAAATGATGCTCTATCTGCTCTGTATGCTCGCTCTCTGATAGAAAGCATTTCATATTTCCTTTGCCCTTCTTAAAATATCTGTTAAGCTTTGATTTTCTGTGGTCATATTTAATCAAGCCATGGTGTCATCATCAATCATATATTGATTGATAAGAAAGTTTTTCACTAAATCACCTCTTATATATTTATATTTAAACACTGTTTGCTTTGTCAACATAATTTCATGTAGGTGCAGACTAAACAACACTTGCTTTGTGTGTGAGAGGTGAACACTGTAAACTATTAATAACTTACTAGTCTGAACGCAGCTTTGTGACCCGCTAAACTAGTGTAGCCGTTCTCAGCAATTGTGCTGAAATGTTAGGTTCAAACGGAATAAATAAATATGCAAATTTGATTGGGCAACGTTATGAATGAAGCTTAAAACTATTAGACACAACCCTTGAAGTTTATTAAAGTTGGCTGCAGATGAGAAAAATCTACAATCTCTTCATACATGGAGGGTTATTTATGTATTTATTCGAGGGCAATTTGAAAATTCAAAAATCATTTTGTGATATTTCTTTTTGCAGATGCTGTATTGCCAAGTATGCTGTGAGCCCTTCCACAAGTTTTGCCTTGATCCAGCGGACCGGCCTTCTGAAGAGAACAAGGAGAACTGGTGCTGCCGTCGCTGCAAGTTTTGCCATGTGTGCGGCAGGAAGAACAAGCCCACAAAGGTACAGCTTACTATTTTGATTATTCATTGTTATATTTAACTTCTCAGTGTTAATGTTGTTCATTTAGTAAGCATTACACTTTTCATGTCTCCCTTAGCCATTGCTGGAGTGTGATCGATGTCAGAACTGTTATCATACTTCCTGTCTGGGACCCAACTATCCAAAACAAAACAAGAAGAGGAAAGCTTGGGTAGGTCTCATGTTTCTTAGAAAACATAATGAATGTATGTGACATGTACTGAGAGCATGCTGAGGTTAAAATACAGTAATTGCTGCTCCTAATATGCTGGTTTCTGTGCAGGTTTGTATGACATGCATCAGGTGTAAAAGCTGTGGTGTCACACCAGGGAAGAGTTGGGACACTGAGTGGAACCACGACAAAGGACTCTGTCCAGACTGTTCGAAACTCAATGAGCTGGGTGAGGGGAGGATTAATGAATGAACCGTCACCTGCTTTGTCATCATTACCAATCTTTGTTGAGGCTAATCTTTTCCAAATGGCTCTTTCTTTCTCAAGGTAACTACTGTCCGATCTGCTTCAAGTGCTACGAGGACAATGACTACGACAGTCAGATGATGCAGTGTGGCACCTGTAACCACTGGGTGCATGCCAAGTGTGAGGATCTAACAGGTGGGTGTTATTCTTCATCTTTTTCAGGATGAAAGATCCCAAGTTAGGACATTTTTGTAGCATTTTTGTTCTGGTATTCACAAGTTGATTTGCATAACTTCAAAGGACATGAGAATAGCATAACATTTAGAGAGCAGGAAGAAAAAAAGCTTAAAAAAGGAATATCTTATCTTACCTGTTGTTACGTGTTATTACCTAATGTTTTCTAAACATATATAATTGCATTTCGCTATGTCTCAACTCAATAATACTCAATGATAATTCCAGATGAACTGTATGAGATCCTGTCCAGCTTGCCGGAGAGTGTGGTGTATTCCTGTCGACCTTGCAGTGTGACCCAGCCCAGCGCCTGGAGAGAGCTGCTCTACATCGAGCTCAGATCGGGGGTGGAGAAGGTGCTGGCCTGCTTGCTCTCCTCCACCCTCACACAGCACCTTGTTGCCTGCTCAAAGGTAGGAGAGCCACATTTTTTAATAATTCAAGTTTGAATTGAAGGTATACATCTTAACACTGGGACTGAAACTTGAAACTGAAATGCATCGTGTCAAATATACTTTTGTTTCTGCTGCAGTGTGAGAAGTTGGTTGATCCTGACAGTGGGATAGAAGGACAGCCAGCCTGTGACCTCCGGGCTGTGGGGAAGAAGTTTGACAAAGGCCTTTATACGACATTGGTGAGTACACAACCTAATCAGTGTTTTGAGTATTTCCATCCAGTTGAAACATGTGTCAGGGATAACTGTTTTGGAGGCTTTATGGGTATTGACTTTTACATTAGAGTATGAATTGAGAAATAACCAAAAAAAAGAAGATCCTTTGTATCTTAAAATTGGAGCCACAATTAGGGCATATGCTGTATTTTCAAATTGCCGCTAATAGTTTTTTTTTTTTTGCATCTGTACTAGGGCTGCACGATATTGGAAAAAACTGATATTGTGATAGTTCTTTCCCCTGAGATATATATTGCGATATGAAAAAATACAGGAATTGAAGAAAAGGCAGTTATTTTTGTCCGCAAACCGTCCTTTCTTGAACTTTAATGCTATACAATTGGTATTTTTCTAACTATATTTAACCGGATGAAGGATTTTAGTCACGGACGTCTGGATCTTAAGTTATCAGAGCAACAAGCTGAGCAAGCTTGGTTAGCAGCGCCGAACTGGTCTGGAGAAACACATGAAACTACTTTATTCAGTGTTTTTACCTTTAATCACGGGGTCCGTTTGCTTTGGAGATTGATTGTGATTGGTGGTTTGCTGTGCATTCAGAGCCTGCATGTCACTCACTCAAGTACCCCTGACATGAGAGCCGCGCAAGTTTTCCTTTTGTAGCAAGCAGCAAAAATAATTTTAACATGACGTGTTTTGAGTTAATTCTGAGACTGCCAAGGCACACTCGTAAAAAAAAAAAATCACACGTCCTGCGATGTGAATATCGCGCATATCGCGATTATCGTCACGACACCATATATCGCGCAGCCCTAATCTGTACAAGTATTTTACTGCAAGGAATATTTCCTATACATTGCTATGGGAAACTTAGATATGCAACCTTAAAAATACTAAATCCCAATTGTCTATACCTTTTATAGAAAATGTTCCATGAAGATGTGGTTCAGGTGGTGCGAAAGAGGCTTGAGCAAGAGGAGGATCTTCCAGAGGAGCAGAGACCTACTGCCCTGGCTCGCTCTTACTACTTGAAGGTGCTGTACAACCAAAGATTAGTGAAAATCTTGTGTATAAAAACAAGTTACTTTGGGAAGGGAGAAACTGCAAAGTAAAGCTATGTAATATTTTTAGAAAATGTCTTAAGTTGGAATACATCAATAACTGTTGTGATTTTCCTCTTTAGCTCCTTGAGGAAGTATTTAATTGGTTCAACAGCCAAGATCCAAAGGTGTGGAACTCTTGTACCAAAGACTTGCCCGTGTGAGTAGTGCTTTCCATTTACTTATTGTATTGTAATAATTATGGAAGAGTATGTCAAGTATGTACCTGGACACATACATTAATTTTACAAGCACTTCTCTGTTATCTTTTGGCATTCTAATGAATACTTATTAACTGAACTTTCCATTTCTTTCTTAAATAGGGGGATGCTGTCCAATGCTATTCATCCGCCTACAACGGAGCATGTTTACGCCCAGTGGCAGGAGAGGGAGGAGCTCTCGTCCAGGGCTCCTCTCGGGCTCCTGCAGGAGGACAATGGACAGAGCTTGGTTGTAAAGCAAGAAGAGGCACTGTCTCCGTTGTCTGGGGAGCTAATAAGCAGAAACCACTTCAAATCCAGCCGAGCTGCCAGGCACAAATCCAAAGGTAATGTTGTCAAGGGATGATATCCATAACATAATTACCCACTTGTAGTTATTTAAAAATCTCAACCAATGTTTGACCCTTTATGTCTTTAACTTTTTTTTACATTTCTGTAGGCAAAAGGGGTCGTCTTTCAAAAACTGATTTTGAAACGGGATGGTCTAAGGATGACGAGAGACAGTGCTCTTTGTGCCAAAAATATGGAGACCTCAAACCGAATGTGAGTAATGCATTAATAATGAAAATGGAAAGTTCCAGCGAGGAGTGTGAACTGCTTATCAACACTATACAGAAAAGCATTTATTGGGAATATAAGTGACAAAAGAAAATCCTCTTCTTATGATCTCATAGGAAGCAGGTCGGTTGCTGTACTTGGGCCAGAATGAGTGGGCACATGTCAACTGCTCTCTGTGGTCAGCTGAGGTGTTTGAGGAAGACAATGGCTCTCTGCTGCATGTTCACAGTGCTGTCACAAGGGGCCGCTTGATGGTTGGTGTTCATTTACCTTACAAATGATCCTGTTAATGTTTATTATTTTACAATATTAGTATGAAATCTAAATTGTATTACTTGTAAATAGATAATGATATTTGAGGATGAAAATACATTTGTTAACAGGCTCTTGTCGTTTATTCTTATAATTCATATATTTTCCTGTTACATTCATTCCCACTTTTAGCGATGTGAGCGGTGCAACCAGACCGGTGCCACAGTGGGCTGCTGTCTGACATCTTGTCAAAGCAACTACCACTTCATGTGCTCCCGCTCCCGACACTGCGTGTTCCAGGAAGACAAGAAGGTCTACTGCCACAAACACCGGCATCTGATCAGTGGCAAGGTAAATTCTTCTCCTCTGATTCTTCCAGTAACTGTGCTCTGACAGTTCCACATTTTGTTCAATGTTACTTCTTTTTGTTGTTGTACAGATGATTACTGGTCAAGAATTTGAAGTAAACCGCAGGGTGTATGTGGATTTTGAGGGGATCAGCCTTCGCAGGAAGTTCTTGACTGGACTGGAGCCAGAATTAATCAACATGATGATCGGTAAGCCTATTTTTGAGCTGGTTACTATTTACTCCATGGCATGTACTGCTATTATGTCATGTTTACCTAATTTGTATCCACATATCTCTTTACAGGATCCCTACAGATAGACCATCTCGGTGTACTGACAGAACTTTCAGCTAGCAAAGGAAAACTGTTTCCTGTGGGATTTCAGTAAGTTGCATTTTACCTTTTTTAACTTAATTAGACCAGTTAACCAGATGAAACATGAAATAAAAAGCACATTTTAAAATGTTCTTCTTTCTGCCTCAGGTGCACCCGTTGGTACTGGAGCACAGTGAATCCGTTGCGCCGCTGCAAATATACATGTACGGTGAGAGAGGTCCGGCCCATTGTCACTGAGAAGCCTGTTGAGGAGATGCCTGACCGAGGAGACAATAACACCATCGCTCACAGCCCCTGTCCGCCACCTGGTGCGTATTTTACTTCCAAAAAACTGCATTACATTCGGAATTGATTAATTTGAAATAAATAGATTAATGCAAATAGTTTTTTAAACCCTTTCTATTAATCTTAGAATCTGAAGCCCAAGCGATTGATGTAATGGAGACCCAACCCCCAACGGAGGAAACCTTTATCGCAGGACCTACCCTCAAGTCTGATCACGGAGCAAGGCCAAAGATTCCCAGGAGACCAGCTGGAGGAATGTCTCGACCTCTGCCATCCCCAGGTAAACATTTGTATTTACTTTTAGTACAAATCATTGAATTTCACTTCAACAAAATATGGTGATCTAATCAAAAGTACTCGCATCTCTATCCTGATTTTCCTTTTAGGAGTAATCCAGGCGAAACCCCACCACATATTAACCATAAGTGATTTCGACGAAACCCGAAGGGTTTGTCGCCACAATCCTCACTCACAGACCCCAGTTCTCCGCACTCACAAGCCCCCCCCTCCTCTGGGCCCTCTAAGTGGGCCAATCACCCTCCGTGCTGGAAAGTCTTCCCTTCCTGCTACCCCTCTTTTCCCACTTGGTGCCTCAGACAACATGTCTCCTTCAACCCGCCCTGTCGGTGGTCGAAGTGCTTCCTCAGTTCGTTGCCCCGGGAATACATGCACCTCATCTTTATTTCCTCAGTCTGCGTGGCAGGAAGGTGCAGGGAACTTCCCCTCCCCAAGTCTGTCTTTCTCGCCATCCATACAACACCTTCCCAGAAACCGATTGTCATTTGATCTGAGCCAGCCTGACTCAGTCGAGGTGCCGCACAACTTCCTAGCTTCACCAGAGCCTGAAGATGTTTCCCCAGCAAATGGTACGTCACCCCAGGGCGGTTCAGACCAACAGAAAGATGAAGAAGTATTTCCCTACAGTTCATTCCACAAGGATCCAAACCTGAGATTGGGCCAAGAGATGAGAACAGAACTGGAGATTGAAGAGACCCTCCTGAATGAAGGCGTGGCAATGAACTGTGGGGGACAAATTGTGGTGGAAGGTGATGACCAGGAGGAGTTTTGGGGTAGAGCCCAAGAAGTGCCCAAGAAGAAACCTCTTGTTGCCAACATGCCACGGTCTGCAGCCTCAGCTAGGGATGACTTAGGCAACAGCTCTTCTGATGACGACATGGAGCACTACTTTGACTTCTCACGGACAATAGTGAGCTGTCCCGGATCAAAAGATCATTCCAAGTCTCCCTCCTCCCCTTCCTCCCGGCCTATGGCTCAGCTAGATGGTGTAGATGACGGTACGGAGAGTGATGCGAGTATCGTGACCAACGATGATGCTCAGAAAGCTGAGGGTTCTCGTCAAGCTCCCATACAAGCCAAAGGCCTAAATAATAAAAATGTTCCCGACTCGGAAACAGCAAACAACACACAGGCTGTTCCGAGTCTGTTCCCCAAAGTATCATCCAATCATAAGCAGACAGACGCTTCATCAGCCACCCTATCAGTTGCCAGCAAAAGTCCTGCAGATAGTTCCCCTCAAGATGGAACTAAATCCTCTGACACTCCTTCAGTAAATCAGGAGACCGTGCTTCCTACTCCAGCTCTTGATGCTACGCCTAACTCACTCACAAAGGTGCCTGAGACTACCTTTTCAGAGGAGTTATTCCAGAGTTGCAGTTTAGGATTTTCCACTGGAACACCGCTTGTTCTTGAGAGGTCTGACACTAGTCCACATTTGACTGGGATGGTTCCTTTGCTAGAAGGCCCACCGCTTGAGACCAAACCGTCTGATGCATGTAAACCTCTGAACTCAGGGGGGGACAGCAGCCACTCTGCTGTGTTAATCAACCACTTAACAGCTAATACAGTGGAGCCCTCATTCGCAGGCTCTGCTGATAACTGTCAGGGTGTCCTGCTGGATCTTCTTCAGCCTTCCCCTGTAATATCTACAGATTTACAGAACCCCTCTCAAGGCCTTGTAGACTCCCTGCCGATGTATTCCTGTTTACCCAGTATCAGTCACTCTCCTCTAGCAAGTATTACACTTCGGCCAGTAACATCCTCACAAGAGTTCCCATCCATCGGGGCGTGGTCTACTAAACTGACCACCCTCAGTCCTGTTGGAGATGTAACTCAAACACTGCTAAATGCTCAAAAAGATCCACTGCTATCAGCTATATCAGGCCCTTGTCCCCCAGCAGGAACATGTGGAACCATTTCTCTTCCTATCTACTCCACACAGCCAATGGGTTCTACAGCTGTCACCATTGTTTCTTCTTCTGCGTCAATATCGTCTCTTTCTGTACTGTCCACGCAATGTTCGACCGCTCCAACGTCAGTCCAAACCACCTCAGCCCCTTTGATCTTAAACGGTTACAGCGCTTCATCTGGGCAGAAGGAAGCTACATCGGGTCACACGATCTCCATCAACTTTTCGGCACCCAGGCCAGCTTTAGAACCTCAACAGCCTGTGGTTCCACAGGCTTTACCCGGACATGCTATTCTCACTGTGAAGGAGGTGGGGGGTCCCAATGTGGATCCTACGCCACATGTCCTGCTGGTGAACCGCCTCGGGCAGATCTTCGTGAAGAACCCAGAAAGCAACACTTTCCAGCTGCCCACTCCCAGCTCCTCCTCCTTCAACTGCGTCACTCAGATTGCCAGCCTTTTGCAAAGCAACGCGTTGTCAGCCACGCTAGCAGCAGCCGGACACATGAATGCTCCTCTCCCAGTCGGCAACGTTGCGACAGCAGTTCCTTCGTCGGTTACACACACAGTTCAGAATCCATCCACAATTACACAGCTGCTTACTAACAATAGCAATGGTCCAGTGACATCAGTTGATGTGAAGAAGCCAAGAAAGAGTGCAAAAACGCCAAAAGATGAAACCACTGCAGAGGTGAGAAAAACAAAGAAGAAGAAGAAGGATTCAAATGGCACAAAAAAATCCAAGTCATCCAAGACCTCGGGGCAGTCTGCTCCGTCTACTGACACTCCTCCCATGACTCCCGCTGAGAGTGCTCAAGCTATTATCAATCAAGCGATGGCGAGTAACTACACCCCCAAGTGGAGTGGGCTTCGATCACTAAGCCCTTCTTCGCTCGTTTTACCACCTGGACTATTAATTGAACCGGAGCCTCCAGCGTTGCCCACCTCTCCACCAGTAACCCCCACACCAGCTCCCGCAGCTCGACCGCGCTCACACGTCCGCATGAAGAGAGTGTCTTCGCTTTCAGACCGTATTGTCACAAAGAAGTCTAAGGTTGACTTCCTAAAACCAGAGCCCCCCGTTGAGGAAGAGGAGCGTAGCAAACCCGTCTTTCCAACCATTTCCAGCAGGGCTTCAGGGGTCCGCATCAAGACCCCGACAGTGAAGGGAGTGCTGAACCTGGACCAGTTAAAGGAAGAGCATATGAGCGCGTCTGATAGCTCAGGGTAAGATTTTACATTATTTTCATTTGTAAATAATTGAGAACTGATTAGAATATGTAAGCTTATATCTTAGCATTTTAACTCTAGACACGTTTAACATTAAGTTTAGTGCATTTATTTACTGTTTTGTGATTTTTTTATTTTTACTCTTTTCTTTCTCAGATCAGAGCCATGGGAGTTGGCTCAGGGCGAACAAGGCAAACAGCATGCATGGGAACCAGTCGGACACAGCACCCTGACTGACTGGAAGAAATACTCTGGTAATGTTGAGTTTAAACTGCATTATTGACTCAAGATTTATATAAATTGAAAAATATATTTCATGTCTGTCATGTATGATTTCACAATTAGTAATGCAGGGTACATTGTTGAAATTGTGGCTTCATCATTTGAGAAAAGTATGAAAGACTAAACATTTAATCTGTATATCTTTAGGTGCTGCTTCTACCTCAGATGAGGAACCACCCCTGTCTGATAAGGAGGAGGACTATCGAACCAACAGAGATCATCCACACTTAAGATTTGAGATAACCAGTGACGATGGCTTCAGTGCAGAGGCAGACTGTATTGAGGGTAAGGCTAACATTGCATAATAAATATTTCCCTTAAACTATTAAACATGTTCTGGAAGTAACAAAACAAGTTTGTGGTAATTCTGCAGCCTGTTATGTTCATTGTGCTCACTTCTTCTCCACTGTCCCTCCAGTGGCTTGGAAAGCGGTGGTTGACGGGGTGCAGGAGGCCCGGGCTATTGCGAGGCTGAGACCTCTGACCTTACAGAGGATCACCGGCTCCCGTATGCTGGGTCTGGTGCACGACGCAGTGGTGTTTCTGCTAGAGCAACTTCAAGGCGCACACCGCTGTCAGCGCCATGCCTTCCGCTTCTTCAAACAGTTCACGGCGGAGGACGACCTCCCTGTCAATCCCAGCGGCTGTGCCCGCTCTGAGATGTACCTCAGGTATGTGTACCAGGCCCATTTCAGTTTAGCTCTTGTGTCTTTTTTGAATCTTTTAACTTATCATATTTCCTACATTTGGATGGGAAAAGTATAGGTAGTAAAGCATTGCAAAGTATTTGACTTTTTGAAGAAGCCTTACTCATCTTAACATGATATATCTTTCTCTTATCTCTCAACAGGAAGTCAACATTTGACATTTTCAACTTCCTGGCTTCTCAGCATAGAACGCTTCCTGACAATGGGCCTTATGATGATGAGGAAGATGAGGTTCTGTTGAAGTCTACAAGGTCAGGCGTCACTGATCTAGCTGCAGTTTTTTTTCCTCCATGAAAATATATTAACACTTGAAGTTACACCTTTGACATTTTTTTTGATGTTTTTTTAAAATGATTGTCTTTTTTTCTCATAGGCGGGCTACTAGTTTGGAGTTACCAATGGCCATGCGCTTCCGGCATCTGGAAAGGACATCGAAAGAGGCTGTAGGCGTGTACAGGTCAGCACAGTACTACTTTTTCCATTTAATCTGAATACCATGTATTACTCGTAAAATATTTTGATCGGGGTTCACTTCTTGGAGGAGCACTTTGGGAAAACAGTGTTAGGTTTGAATAATTAGGGTGGTTTTGAATTGAATGCTTTTGAACAAACGCCAAAGGGAATCGACAACAAGAAGATGCAATCATTATCAGTTACACATATGGTCCAACATTTAAGTTAACGTGTAAAAGAACACATTCATGTAATGGGCAAAACTACAAAATAATAACATTACTTTTTTTTTTATTATTACAATTACTTTTTAGTCTACCCAAATGATTGTTAAGCAAATGTGGGCTTTTTACAAGAAAGCTTGTGAAATAGTTGAATTGAGACAAACTAATGATCAATGGGTAACGTCCATTGAAATGAATAAGTAGTGTTGATGCCATCTAGAGGTGAAGTGCTGTCAACCTCTGCAGGATCACTCTTCTGTTAGTGCTCAGTAGAGTTCATCCAAATTCAAACTGCAAGTGAGGTGTGCCTTCAAGATGTACAACACTTTGCTAAAGTCCTTCGAGAATTGATGAATACAGATTTTGGGGTTTATCCAAATGTGTTGGGAAGATTGGATAATATTTGTAGGTGAGGTGGAGAACACGAATTATTGCAATAATAAAAACGACTAATGAATCAATATCTGTTTTATTGTTTGATTGTCTGATAAAAACAGGGGAGAGCTGACTGAACCAGTGTAGATTTGTGATATTAGTCAAGATAATGTGTGCAGCATTCCTAAGTTGTAACCACAGAAGAGTTTCGGGCAGCTCTAAAGTAGCTGCAGAATGTAATGGCTCCAAGCTGTTGTTCAGATGTGCAAACTATTTGCTTTTTTAAAGCAGATGAAATCAACAGGAAGCTACAGTTCAAACAAAAGCCGACTGGCTTAAAGCTCTGAAGCTCAGAAACAGGACAAAGAAAACATCCCTTACTGTGATCCAGTCTGGCTCTAAGACACAGTGGTCCTTTGAGCTGAATTAACATATTGATGTTCAGGAGTACAGATCTGCTAGTCATCATCGCAGTTCGGACCTGAATAACAATCTTTCAACATTATCAACAACCTAAACACTTACAAAAACACTTAATGATATTGATAAGCCAGATAGTGTTATCCCTTATTGGTCTTTAATGGCTCGTTTATTCTCAATTATCATATCTAACCCATTTTAAACCTGAAAATCAGAGGGGGAAATGGGAAATGTGGGTTCAGAAACCGGCTTGTATCTGCGTCTCATCGTGTCTGACCATTCTGGACTTTTTTACTTCTGTTGCAGGTCTGCTATCCATGGCCGTGGTCTTTTCTGCAAGAGGAACATTGAAGCAGGGGAGATGGTCATCGAATATGCCGGCATCGTCATCCGCTCAGTGCTCACGGACAAAAGGGAGAAGTACTACGATGGCAAGGTCAGTCGGGTTTCTCTTCCTTTGATCGGTTTCATTCCAATGTACTTTACTATAATTGAAGGTTCAAGTTTCGGAAGGTCAGCGGATGTATCAAAAGGCTTCCTTTGTTTTGCCTTCGCAGGGTATTGGCTGTTATATGTTCCGCATTGACGACTTTGATGTGGTGGATGCTACCATGCACGGCAACGCAGCGAGGTTCATCAACCACTCGTGCGAACCCAACTGCTACTCTCGAGTGATCAATGTGGAAGGCCGCAAGCATATTGTCATCTTTGCTCTTCGGAAGATCTACAGGGGGGAGGAGCTCACCTATGACTACAAGTTCCCCATCGAAGACGCCAGCAGCAAACTCAACTGCAACTGCGGGGCCCGGAGATGTCGCCGGTACCTCAACTGAGACACCCCTCGTGTGAAAATGGGAGCATCCTGTTTACTAGCTAGCCTTAAATTAAGGTGGATTGGGTTTTGGGGGAGGGGGGGCAGCTTGGAAAGGGGAATAAGCCACTATTGGACCAGAAGAGAATATTGGGCTGGTCAGAAGTCATTTATGGACATTTTTATTGATGATAGAAGAAGAGATTAACCTGCACAGAACATTTATATGAGTCGTGTCTCTTCTTTTTCCCCGTGATAGAGTTCAGATGAAAAACGTACACGTCAACGTCTTCACCACAGCAGTAAATATTGTTGAGGAAGTGGTTTCGGTGTTCATGTGAACAGGACGTTAAACCAGATGTTGAAGTGTAGGAGGTTCCTGGATCAGTACACCAACAGAACTTCTGCGATACACACGCCTTATCTGTTTGAATCATTGCTGAAAACCTATAGGTAGGCTTTGAGAGATTCACTATATGTTTTATTATATTTTCTTTTTTTGGGGGGGGGGGTTTATGTCTGTCTATAGTACACTTGTAATCACAATTGCTCCATCCTCCAGTGATGGTAACATTATAGCTTCATCCGTGCAGTGGTGAAGTCAGTTTTGAGCCATACAGTCACTCAATCCTTTGTGTGTTTTATCTTGCATTTAACACTTCTCACGTTGTTAATGACTTCTTTTCTTTTAAGACTCTTTTTGTTTTCCAGTGAATAACAAAACAACCATGGTGCTAAGTTTTGATGGGTCTTTTATGTCTCTAGTTGGACGAAGATGTCCTGCAAATCAGGAATTGTTTAGCTGTTTATTCACCATTTATCCTAAATTGATGCACTCAAGCAGCACTCTTATCATTAGAGTTTAGTCTAAGTTTCACACTTCGGATCATTGGTGTGCCACGCGTCACCTACTCTCTTCCTGTGTAGATTTCAAAATAGATAATGGTATCGGTTTCACTCGGTGTCATATTTATAAAGGCTGAGACATGTCTTCAAGGCGTGTTTTTTCTTCCGCTGTACAGTGTATGTAGCAAGCACTACCCAAGCCAAAAGTTAAGAGTTGTGGTGAATAATAGTTTTTTTAATATTTAATGTGTCTCATGGCAGATGCTCATTACTTATTGCAATAAGATGTGCTGCCCTACAGTTGCACATAAATAACCATCAAACATACAAATTATCTTCGTCTTTGAAAACCTGCCAGTTGATCTCTTTGCATCGCCACTGAGTGTGTGTTCGGCTCCTGCTCCATCCAGAAAACACTGAGTCTGAGACGGAGTTGAGAGTGTGCTCGGCACCTTAAAATAATGTTCAATGTTGTTTTTAGCCGGTGTTCAGTGCCGTCATTGATGAGGCTTTTGTAATTCACACACTGTTCTAATTGGTAGTGATATTTATTCATGTTCTGATTTCTTTTTTTAATGGTAAAAGGTTGTGCTTTGTATAAATGGTGGCGGCCTAGTGCATGAGGAGATCTTCCCCTATCTCTTGTTTGTTTACAACTGATGTCCTTTTACTAATTTACTTGAATTTTCATTTGGGGCAGTTGTGTCATACATTCAAGCCTTTATTGACAGAAGTTGTTCTATTAAGCAGGTATTTTTAAAGAATCATTTATATTTTTATTTTTTTTTCTTACGGTAAATTACTGACGGTCTTAGAATCATCCACAGGAGTAAAGTGAGCACTGTTTCCCTCCCCATGCCAATGATCATCTTATTTTCCCCTAATTATGTTTTGTCTTGATCTTAATCCCCTTTCCTTCTTGCATGTCCAATCACTGGGATGGAGCCCAGATTACCTTGTGTCAATCACCTAGCTGACAACAAGAGCAGAGTCACTCCCAACTCCTTGCAAGGATTCTACCTCAGCTGTTTAGACAGATGTTTGGGAATACTGATGCAAAAAGAGAGGATGGTAATTTAAAGAGTCATGGTTTTAATGTCTGGCAGAGCTGGTGAGTCAGTGTGAAGTGTGTGTGTCTGTAGGTGCCTATGTTTGTCACTGTGTGTGTGAGTTTGCAATGAAGGATGGAAGCACTAGTCAAAACCTGAAGTTATCATGACCATCTCTCCCAGAATCTGTTAAGAAAGCTGTATGTTATATATACACACATATATAAAAATATATATAGATATATATATATATAGTAGGGTTATTTTAAAGTAAGTGTAAAAGACATAAAAAAATAAGAAAATATGTGATCTTTAAATGTACGTCTTTGTTACCATGTACAAATAAACCCTGGGTTTGTAAATATTTGTATACATATTTCTAAACCTGTTTAATTTTTCTATGCACTTTTTTATTTATAATGTTATTTGCTTAATAAAGATGTTAAGATGTTTGAATACATTTCTATTTTTTTATTTGAAAAGGTTAAAGTAGAAAAAAGAATGATGAAAAGCAATATACTGTTTTCAGAATGTATAAAGGCCACTGTTAGAATAAAAAACAAAGAGTCTGACGTTTCGTGAATTAAGTCTTACTTTTACAAGAAGAAATGTTGGTATTTTGAAAATAAATTCATATTTTGTACCCCAAAAAAAAATGTTAATATTGAAAAAATAAAGATATAACAGGGTAGGTTGGTCTGAGTATGCTTACTAAAAAAAATAATGCTTACTCAGACCAACCTCAGATTGGATTACATGTTGGAGTTTTTTCAGTAATGATCGCAGAAAGCCCAAACTCTGGAGTCATAACTGTCCGGCTTAGACTGAGCTGTGGGGTCGCTGGTTCAAGTCCCCATAAAGACTTAAAATATGGAGTGTAGACTGGTACTTGGAGAGTTCCCAGTTCACCCCCTGGGCCCTGCCGTGGTGCCCTTGAGCAAGGCACCGGACACTCCCAATTGCTCAATACAATTACAACAGCTGCCCACTGCTCCTAGTACTATGTTGGAAGGAATGTTACATCTCGATCACGTTCAGTTCAAGTTTGGCGAGAACAGCGATGGCATCGTAGCGCTTCATATGTCCAAGCAGCTTAGCCAGGTGCCCCACTGTCCAGTCGGGGTGCCTGCAGGTGACCCCCTCCAACACGGCTTTCAGCGGGCTCTTGCTCTCCTTCATGGAGTAGGTGTAGGTGATCCAGGTGGCTGGGAAGGAGCAGTGAGACGCCAGATGTTTGGTGGTTTTAACTCCATGGCTCTCTGGATCCAGCAATATCACCAGCTCTTCCAAAACATCCAGGTTGTCCAGCACGGTCTGTAAAGGTGCTGACCGGATGTTGGGACCTGAAGAGGAAAATGATGGGGTGTAATTACTCATTCATCCGACAGCTTTAATTACTTTAATTTACAGTTTATTACCACATACAAAAGATAGTGAAATTAACTTTGATATTATAGGTTAAGATATGCAGTAGCAGTACACATAGTAATTAAAATGAGCTGAACCTTTATAGGCTGTGTAAATAATAAATAAACCATCAGTGTTTGCCATCAAAGCTCCATCTCTCCCCGTGTCTCTCTGAGTCCGGTTTCCAATTGCTTCAGAAGTTTCCCTCACAGATACTTTAAGTATATTCTTATGCCAATGCTTATACTTTACCTAATCAAGCTTTTGAGGGCAGGACTTAAACTTTTTAATATATTTTTAAATGTAGTTTTGCTACTTTTACTTAAGAAAAATATCTCAGTACTTCTTCTACAACTATCTGCTGTTCAGTGGGCCATACTCATCGATACTCTTCCAGCAGATAATTATCTACTCATTATGTGCACATTACTGATAACCCTTGATCTTATCAATGTCACAGACAGATTACAATTGTAATTTCCACTCACTGAGGAGGCCCTTCTGATCATTGTTACCAGTTGGAGCAGACAGGGGGGCGAACCCTGCATTGATGAAGGAAGATCTTCTGCTGTAACTCATCACTGTCTGCTTTCCTGTGTCAAACACAAGCATGAAATAAACAGTTATGATCAAAGCCAGAACCACCACAAGATGAAAACATTGTGGGGGGATCAAAACAATATTTGCTTGACGGATGTTGGTGTTTTCCCATTGACTACAACTGAGGAACTTGATTTCCACTTGAATGCTTATTTATCTTTTTCAAACATCATCTCTCAATATGCACACCTCTTTTCCGCTTCCTGAAGATAAGACAAGCGCAGATCACAACAAGTGTGATGGAAATTAGGATGACTAACGGTACGGCCCCTGCAGAAATAGAAAAAAATAAAATGTAGAGAAACAAAAAAAATGTGTCTTTCTCCATAATCAAGAGTGGGCTTGCTTACACATCGGTGCGCCAGGACTGGGTGGGAAAGTACCCCCTTCGTTTATCTGAGTCTGAAATGAAACAGTAACATATTTGGGTGAAGTCATCTCTAACCCAGACTAAATATAAAAAAACACCCAAAACCATGTTACTACACACAATTTACTTTAAAGGATTATTTAATGGCTTTGCTATTCTTGTAAGCTTTTTTTTTTTTTTTAAAAAGCATATGGAATTTGGAATTCCTTTTTTGTAAAGTGCCTGAAATATTCTAATAAGAGAGGTAATTTCCTGACACAAATGACTAAGTAGTATTTGGCTGCTTTCATTACAATCTGCACAAGTAGGGCAGACTGGGGACGGTTGCAACACATTTTTGCATTTCTCTCAATTACCTTAGAGACTATTTGGTCAAGACAAACCACATTTTTATATAAATTAAACGTACATTCTGTATGTGTGCTTATTATCCAACACATTTAAAGATGATTACATGACAGATCTTACCAAATATATATTTGAGTGTAAGAACCTCTGTTGGTGAATTATCCTTATATCCATAGGCGGAGTTTGAAATTTGCGCTTGGGGGGGTAAACCTTTTTTACTGACGTCAATACACAGTCCCAACTATTGCGTGGGGTGCTACGCAGTGGTGTAGTGGTTGATGGACGCGGGGGATCGCCCTACTTTTTTTAAGCATGATTTGTTTTGTATAGTCTGATAAATATAAAATCATTGCCAGTGTTATCAGTTGCAAGTGTATTTTGTGTAATAATGACGAAAACATAATACATTTCACAGTATTTATAATAAAAATGTAGCTCAAGTATTTATGCAACTTGATTTTAAGCGTGTGTGTGTTTGTGTTGGACGGGAGGAGACTTTTCCATGCCCGCCGTACACACACACTGATATGGAAGGGGCGGTCTCTCCCCCCAACAACAGTGCATTACATAACTGTAAAACTGTGCACATCTTATACTTATTTGATAACTACTATACACTTGGTTACTTGAATACACTACAATATTATTAACCAGTGTAAATATTGACATGCGAAATATTTGTATTGGAACAGTTTTCGACGTAGTAATGCTGTAACATATTTAAGCTACTAGGGGGGGCAATGCCTATGCTTATATCAACCATACAATGACTTGTGCAGATTGAAAAAGCAATACAAATTTGTATTTGAGTTTAATATATTTTATATTACCCCCAAATCCGTTTGTTTTTAACATATTGTTGTCATAAGCATGTGCAAGACAGACTTTGACAGAATAACTTTGTACCGCCAGAACTACTTATTTTTTAAATAAATTCAGCAGCACATGTACAATGTAAATGTTTCTTTCTTGGTGGTTGGAGGGCCTGACTGAGCATCTACAGTGTGAATGTCATCACTACAGCATGTTTCTGACTGGACGAATAGGACTTGTTGCAACAGTCCCCAGTTTCCCCTACTTGGCCGGTTCTTCACACTTTAATAGGGTAAAGGGAAAAAGAGACCACATGGATTACCGTTGGTCTAATGCTGAGAAAAGTTGAAACATGCTTCGATGTTGGTACCTGGGGAGGAAAATAGAAACTGGGATCATGTACACCAATCAATTAATAACGTCATTAGTAATACCAATACTAATGCTGCAGACAGTTTACTTACTGTGACAGGAACTCTGTTCGTTCCGCTTCTAGAGAAATAAAAAAAAAAAGCAATAGAACAGTGGTAACTAAGTACATCTACTCAAGTATTATACTTAAGTACAATTTTGATAAACTTGTACTTAACTTAAGTATTTCCATTTTATGCTATAGTTTGTACCTGTACTCCACTACAATTCAGAGGTAAATAGTGTACTTTTACTTATCTAATACCTTTAGTTACTTTACAGATTTGGATTAATGATGTGAAATATAATCAACTAATCAAAACTAGCTGCACCTTTAAGAGCTTTGATAACACTTTAATTAATCAACAATTATAATCAAAGCATATAATATATATTATTCTGAAATGGACCAATTTGCAGAAGGAGTACTTTTACTTTGGGTACTTTATGTATATTTTGATGGTAATACTTTTGTACTTTTACTCGAGTAACATTTTGAATATAGGACTTTTAACAGAGTATTCCTACAATCTGGTACTTCTACTTTAACTTAAGTACAAGATCTGAGTATACTTCTCAGTGGTGGTTCTAGACCAATTTTACTGGGG